TTTTTGCACTTGACAAAATCAAAAACGAAGCAATTCTGCGAGACGTCCTCATTTTCTGAAGTTGACAACATCAAAAACGAAGCAATTCTGCGAGAATTCCTCATTTTTTGAAGTTGGCAACATGAAAAACGAAGCAATTCTGCGAGACCTCCTTCAAAAATGGAACGTTAGTGCAGAGCTGACGGACTCGTACCAATGCGTTTTGCGATTTGTCCATTCCATCTGTCTAAAGTACTGTGCCTGCCAGAGAAAAATGAAGCCAGGTCATACGAAGTGCTGCACCTGTAACGCAAAATCATCTTAGCAAACCTGAAGATCTGATGCTCCAAAATGCAACCCCTCTCAGGAATCAGCGCCCAAACCGCCTAATATCTCTGATGAACATGTCTCTTGTACTGCGCCTGCCACAGAAAATGCATCTTTGCAGATCCTCTTCACATGTCCCACGCCTGCCAACGCTTTTGAAACTGCTACAAAACCCTCACGATTTGGTCACTTTTGACAAGGTGCAGAATCCCTTGCGCCTCCCTGGCGAAACGACATCTGAACGTCCAAAAGTGCTCCGAAGCTGGTGTGTTTTGTACATTTGACTTCGAAACGTGCTTCCCGCCACAACAACGTGCACTTTTTCGACATCTGAACTTCCAAAAGTGCTCCTAGCATGGTGTGCTTTGCGCATTTTGACTTCGAAATGTGCTTCGCGCCACAACGGCGTGCACTTTTTGGACATCGCAACTTCCAAAAGTGCTCCGAACGTGAGGTGTTTTGTACATTTTGACTTCGAAACGCGCTTCGCGCCACAACAGCGTGCAACTTTTCATTTCTCATCGAGCCTCCGGAGTTTTCGCGCACCTGCATCCTCTTTCTTCTCACTCTTTCTCTTCTCTGATCTTGTCTCTTCTTCTCTTCTCCTCTCTGACTCTTCCCACCTCTGCTTTTCCATCTGCCCATATTGTCGGAAGTTTGACTTCTAAACTTTCTTCGACCAATATATATATATATATTAATTATATCAATTTGACATTGACTTCCACATGGGGAGCATTGTCAGACATGATCCTAGACTCGCATCTCGCCATATGAACCATGGACAGATAGGCCACGTTGAGCATACTTCTAAAAGTTCCATATGATGTACCTCTGCACAAACCATTGATCTGAAACGTCGCAAGAAGCAACTTGCTACTTATATATATATATACATACATACATATATATATATATATATATATCATGTGACTGACATCAAAAAAAAGACAGCAACACAACCTTCAAAAGCAGGATGTGCCGCACCTGCACAAAAGCTTCAGGTGGTCATCCTGCAATTGGGAGCTGGCGCTGGCAAGATCCCATTGATTCACTTGAAAAAAACATGGATCTTGGTGGCAGAACTCTGAGAATGATTTGGGTATGGATCAATACCAATTAATACCATTTTTAGGGGAATGAACATCCATTTACCAGCTATTTTGATGTTCACCAGGGGTACAAGGTTTTGACACACTGCCATTTCCTTGAAAGCGTTTGCAAAGCAGGTGCCATGGTTTGTCCAAAGCATTGGCGTGCACTCTAGGTAGACTCTCCTGACCATCATTCTGCCTAAAGTACTTTACTGGACTCTATTGGACACTGGCATCTACTGATTCTCATGGCACGTCTAAAAGAAACAAGTACAAGTATAACCTGAAACTGACAAGGGCATTAGTCATTACCACGAGAGAAAAAAAAGAGAACAACGCCTTGACACGGGCGTGGGTTTATCATCATTGGCGTTGTGGATTTGGAATCAGGAATGAGCAAAATACCTGTAGTATTTTACAGTGATTTTTTTTACCGATAATTATTGTTATCACCACGATCAGATATATGCAAAACATCTTTGCAACGTATCAACATTTGCCTTCAAAGCTCTCATATTTTCTTCGACCCTGCTTTGTCTTTTTTCAGTCGCTGTTCTTCGTTTTGAAGAGTTGGCCGTTGGCCCAACTTCTGCACATGTCTATTTATTATGCTGATGTTGGAAACGGAAGTGCCATCATTTTGGCGTCGTCAGCAACGATTACGCCCCCCCACCCACCCTGTTAAGCATAAGCGAACATGTGCAACATGTCAACAACAGCAACAAGTTACATGGACCCTTGTGGCCAACAGTCTTAAAGTCGTCAGGAACGTTATTACACCCCCCCCCCCCACCCCTGTTGAGCATAAGCGACAATGCAACATGCCAACAACGGTAACAAGTATCATGGACCCTTGTGGCCAACAGTCTTAGAGTCGTCAGGAACATTATTATTCCACATCTGTTGATCATAAGCAACAATGCAACATGTCAACAACGGCAAGACATTACAGTACATGGACCCGTTTGGCCAACAGTCTTGAAGTCGTCAGGAACATTATTATTCCACATCTGTTGATCATAAGCGACAATGCAACATGTCAACAACGGCAAGACATTACAGTACATGGACCCGTTTGGCCAACAGTCTTGAAGTCGTCAGGAACATTATTATTCCACATCTGTTGATCATAAGCGACAATGCAACATGTCAACAACGGCAAGACATTACAGTACATGGACCCGTTTGGCCAACGGTCTTGAAGTCGTCAGGAACATTATTATTCCACATCTGCTGATCATAAGCGACAATGCAACATGTCAACAACGGCAAGACATTACAGTACATGGACCCGTTTGGCCAACAGTCTTGAAGTCGTCAGGAACATTATTATTCCACATCTGTTGATCATAAGCGACAATGCAACATGTCAACAACGGCAAGACATTACAGTACATGGACCCGTTTGGCCAACAGTCTTGAAGTCGTCAGGAACATTATTATTCCACATCTGTTGATCATAAGCGACAATGCAACATGTCAACAACGGCAAGACATTGCAGTACATGGACCCGTTTGGCCAACAGTCTTGAAGTCGTCAGGAACATTATTATTCCACATCTGTTGATCATAAGCGACAATGCAACATGTCAACAACGGCAAGGCATTACAGTACATGGACCCGTTTGGCCAACGGTCTTGAAGTCGTCAGGAACATTATTATTCCACATCTGTTGATCATAAGCGACAATGCAACATGTCAACAACGGCAAGACATTACAGTACATGGACCCGTTTGGCCAACGGTCTTGAAGTCGTCAGGAACATTATTATTCCACATCTGTTGATCATAAGCGACAATGCAACATGTCAACAACGGCAAGACATTACAGTACATGGACCCGTTTGGCCAACAGTCTTGAAGTCGTCAGGAACATTATTATTCCACATCTGTTGATCATAAGCGACAATGCAACATGTCAACAACGGCATTACAGTACATGGACCCGTTTGGCCAACAGTCTTGAAGTCGTCAGGAACATTTTATTCCACATCTGTTGATCTAAGCGACAATGTGTCACAACGGCAAGACATTACAGTACATGGACCCGTTTGGCCAACGTCTTGAAGTCGTCAGAACATATTATTCCAATCTGTTGATCATAGCGACAATGAACATGTCAACAACGGCAGGATACAGTAATGGACCAGTTTGGCCACAGTTGAAGTGTCAGGAACATTATTATTCCACATCATGTGATCAAAGCGACAATGCAACATGTCAACAACGGCAAGCTACAGTAAATGGACCCGTTTGGACCGGTCTTGAAGTCGCAGGAACATTATTATTCCACATCTGCTTCTCACAATGCAACATGTCAACAACGGCAAGACATTACAGTACATGGACCCGTTTGGCCAACAGTCTTGAAGTCGTCAGGAACATTATTATTCCACATCTGTTGATCATAAGCGACAATGCAACATGTCAACAACGGCAAGACATTACAGTACATGGACCCGTTTGGCCAACAGTCTTGAAGTCGTCAGGAACATTATTATTCCACATCTGTTGATCATAAGCGACAATGCAACATGTCAACAACGGCAAGGCATTACAGTACATGGACCCGTTTGGCCAACGGTCTTGAAGTCGTCAGGAACATTATTATTCCACATCTGTTGATCATAAGCGACAATGCAACATGTCAACAACGGCAAGACATTACAGTACATGGACCCGTTTGGCCAACAGTCTTGAAGTCGTCAGGAACATTATTATTCCACATCTGTTGATCATAAGCGACAATGCAACATGTCAACAACGGCAAGACATTACAGTACATGGACCCGTTTGGCCAACAGTCTTGAAGTCGTCAGGAACATTATTATTCCACATCTGTTGATCATAAGCGACAATGCAACATGTCAACAACGGCAAGACATTGCAGTACATGGACCCGTTTGGCCAACAGTCTTGAAGTCGTCAGGAACATTATTATTCCACATCTGTTGATCAGTTTGGCCAACAGTCTTGAAGTCGTCAGGAACATTATTATTCCACATCTGTTGATCATAAGCGACAATGCAACATGTCAACAACGGCAAGACATTACAGTACATGGACCCGTTTGGCCAACAGTCTTGAAGTCGTCAGGAACGTTATTACACCCCCGCACCCACCTCCCTTGAGCAGAAGCGAGCATGTGCAACATACATGTCAACAACATAAACGAGTGAAATGCTCAAAAAGGAGCCCGCAGCAGTTGCATGGAAAAACATCAGCCCGCCTTGAGGCGTTGGCCCCCCAAAAAAACCTTTTATAAATACATAAATACGATTAAATACATATAGACACATAGACAACAACAGATTCCGAAGCGCACGTTCTTCCTGCAAAGACTTCCAATATGCCGAGCACATGGGGATCATATATGATCAAACATGTTCACTGAGAATATGGGAGCTCAAATCATTGAACTATATTATATATTATATACCCTCTGGTAATGTCAAAATAGCTATTGAAATTGCCATTTATAGTGAGTTTGTTTCCCATAAAAAATGGTGATTTTCCATAGTTATGTTAGTTTACCAGAGGGTATATTGAACCATATTGATTCAATTGAAACTTTGCTGGTGTGTACAAGAAATCCTGGTCTAAGCCGACACCCGGGCCGAAATCACAAGGTGCTTGTCCTTGACATTGAAAACCCTGCCAATGCCAGTGCGCTTGCCCTCGACAAAGGTGCCCTGCGATGGTCGAAGGTACATCCCCAACTGGAATGAGGAAAATGCATGATCATTCATGAACATATTAGTAACATATTGGCAATCAACTGGAATGGAGGAGGGAGGTGCCTCCATGCAATCCTATCACCACAAAAATCCACGTCCAACATCGTCCAACCAATGACTGAGAAGCTGGGATGAACGCCAACGCCGTGAGAAGTCTTCCCCCCCAAAAAAAACACGGCATGTACTGGAGATGGGCCTGAATTGCTTGGATAGAAATGTCTAGATGGAGGCACGTTGATAAACGTCCGTGGCGTTTTGGGGGTTGGGGGTTGGGGGGGATGGCTTGGACACTGGCCTATGTGACGCTGTCCTTTGACACGGGGGGGCCTAACAACGGTCTGGTTTTTTGCGTGATGAAATCGTCATTTAACTACGCACGCTTGTTCTTGGAACTTCTAACACGCTCTTGATGCTACTGTGTGTGAACTTGTTCTTTTAACTTCTAACATGCTCTTGATAGGGCCTGTGCCCCCTCCAAAAAACCATGCGAGACAATAATTACTAGTTTCATTTTCACAAAAGGCGCGAAGTGCTGCAAGGGTGCAAAATTTAAAGTTGGTGAATCAACAAATAGCACACGGGGCAAATATCCGCGCGTGACCAAGTAGATATGTATACATATATATATATATATGTAGCTCATAAATGCTCACAATCCCTTTGGAATAGATATAATATATACATTAGTAATAAATAAACATACATTATATATTAATAATTTTATACACATGTATACATGGTTTGAGTCTTGGCTGTGACATGCTGTGACTGGGCGAAAGGTCATGAATGGTCATGATGAGATCTCCAAAGAATACCAACCCCAAAGAATGCCAACTCAATGTGGATCTGAATGAAGTATAGATATGATAGTTATGATCAAGTCATATGAAATCAAACAACATACTCAACATAGGTCCGACAACTCTTTGGCTTTTCGGCGCAACCGATTCATATCTCAAGTGTTGAAGGGAGCACATCATTCTGTGATGCTTCTATGTATAACCAATAGAATGTTTGCAAATGGTATCGTGTCTTCCCGCACAATACCTGCTCTCACTGAGGCAATAAGCAGGTGAAAACACGGTAGTTGAATACAATTGGTGACTATCGGTGACTTCAGTTCTGCAAAGGATGTGAAGAGCCAAAATAGATCATACAAAATCACACAAACACCATCCATCGCTATAAACACAATAAAGGCAACTGAAGCAGTGCAACGACTGTTGCATTTTGAAGTGGAATTGCTGGAATTGTCCGACATCAACAGGATTTGCACAAGGGTCCGTCGCGAAATGTTGGAAAATCATGGAAGATCAGTGTTTATCCAAACCATCGTCAACCTATTTGTTGTTGAATGGGAGAAACATGGAGAACGCCTCGACTCTATTCAATCTATTTATCAACCAACCTGTGGTGGACATCCCATGCCGGACCTTGAAGACCACACGACCCATACCACCTGCCAATGGGGATCAACCCACAACTGGGACATGAGAACACGTGCAAAAAGAAACAATGCCGCCAACAGAGCACTCAGTACAATCTCTGCAAATCACAATCGCCATATCAGCACGTCAACTCCTTAATGTTAACTCCAGCCCCTCATGCTCATCCCGCCGTATCTTGCCTACCGGGTCGCCGTAGGTGAGTTCTCCCTTTCCATGGAATTGGCCGTTCTGCCACTCGCCCTGGACAAAAGGCGAAGGCAAAGTTGAGTCCAGGCCCTTTCCAAGTCCTTTAGCTCATCAGATCACCTCAAACCATTACCGCAATCTTGGGCTCCCATGCAAACATACTGTGAGGATTCGAGGACCTAATATATCCTCCAATTAAGTTCAATCTCAAAAGTTACAGATTGGCATAAAGGGATTTTGGATTCTGCCACTACGACAAGCCTCGTACTTGCTGTAGCCCAGTTTGGGTGCCAGTTTTTCATCCGCCTGAAAGGTGAACGACTTGCTCTGCGTAAAAGCTTTCAGCGAGCAAAAGCTTCCCTGTCCCTGTGCAAAAGTTTCCCTGTTTCTGTGAAAAAGCTTCTGTGTGTACAAGCTTCTCTGTACAGAAGCTTGTTGTGCGTATAAAGTATAAAGGTTCTCTGTGTTAAATCTTCTCTGTGGAAAGCGTAGGGGTCGCTTGCTTTGGCACCAAGATCCTTGTTTGGAGCACGTTTTGGGCCAGAGAAGAGCTGATATGATTTGAGAGTGCGCTGAGAAGGACTGAGATGAGGTGAGACGAGCTGACAAGAACTGAGATCAGCTGAGGAGATGTGAGAAGAGCTTAGAAAGTGTGAGAATAGGAGAGAAGAGATGAGAAGACACCAGATGAGCTGACATGAGCTGCGGAGAGCTGAGAAGAGTTGTGAAGATCTGTGAAAAATTGAGAAAGGCTGAGATAAGCTGAGATGAGATGAGAATAGACGAGAAAAGCTCAGGTGACATGAGAAGAGAAGAGAGCAGTTGTGACCAGCTGAGAAGAACTGAGCAAGGGAGAGAAGACATGAGATGGGATGAGATGAGGTGAGGTAAAAAAAAGATGACAAGACGTGAGATGAGATGAGTTGAGATGAGATGGGATGACACAGACTGCGGTGACAATGGGATTCAATGAGCAATTTCCAAGAGAAGCTGCGATGCGATGAGATCAGACCCATGAGAAAAGATCCAACATTCAAAAGACATGGCATCAAATTGACAAGTCAGAAGGCTTGCCTGTCACCTATAGGCACAGCCTTTTCTCCGCTCTATAGGCTATAAGCGTTTCAAATTTGAAACTGGAGCCCCCGGCTTGGCCGGGTACTACTTGTATATTATATGGTTTCTATAAATATTATTTTCATCAACTTTGGATGTGTCACTTTAATTCATTTTATGTGTCTTCTTGTGTCATTTTTTGTGCAAACAAAGGTGACCTCCGAAATCAGACCCAACACCTCCAGCACGTCAGTTAAGCTCCGTACCGTCTCCACGCCCCAGCCGTGTCGCAGATTTTCAGCCTTGCCAGCTACTGTATTTGTGCCATGGATCTATGGTCAGTTTACACGGTGTTTGTGTTAGTTTAATGGAAATAATATGAGTATATAAGGGGTATATAATACGGTACAGTATCCTTATGAAAATGGATTGATGAACCTCGTGTATGGGTAGTTATAATATATATATATAATAAATCCAACTTTTGACCATGGCACATCTCTCTGACTTCGGCTTCAGGATAATTTCTTGACCATGGACCTTTCGGCCATTGCTGTTGATGGCGCGCAAAAAAATCATGGGCATCTCTTAACCGTCCTCTGGTAATTGCATGGAATTGCATGTACATCTATACATATTATGTAGTATTTGTATATATTCTGATATGTTTCCTACATATTAAACACAAATTCTAGAAACGTGACACATATTGTAACACATGCTTGCCGTAGCACGATGTGCACCCAGTTTCTCCCACACCATCTATTAGGCCTCTAAGATTTCTAGGTTTTTAGGTCTTATGTGTTTAAGGTTTAGGTTCCTATCTCTTTCTTAAGTCTTTCCATGGATTTTGGGTTTTTTCTTTTTCGGGTTGAGGGTTTTAGGTCTAGGGCGGGCTTAGGATAACTCTCGCATCCGACGCACACGCATGCACACGCCCACTTCTAAGGCAAGAATGACGCGCTATTTGCGGTGTTTTCAGAGGGTGGCCGAATCGAAACGTTTGCCCGTAGCATTGGTATTCATGATCACGATTCTTACATGAAATTATAAGAGAAACTATGGGCCTATCCCAGAGTCTTAGGGGCTCAAGTTTTTTGAATGTCCAGCAATGGTGTTTTTCCGCGTTTTTCCTCATCTTTTCTTTGGGAGACATACTCCAAAAGCTGCCAAGCTGAGTCCAACCTTCAGGATTCTCAGGACATGGTGTTTCTGCCATGTTTTGTTCATTTTTTTGGTACCCTCTGGTTATGACATTCACAGTTTGCTATTGAAAATGGCCCAGTCGAAATAGTGAGTTTTTCCCCATTAAAAATGGTGGATCTTTCCAGTTCGTTATGTTAAATTACCAGGCCGGGTATCATCTGGATTTATCGGGAGGTCCCAGCGGTCCCAGTGGTCAGGGTCCAATGCGAGTCATCTGTCGTCAGAACTCAGCGAGCAGCAAAGTCACCCTCATACTTCAGCCCGTCGCTGGTGGTGTACCTCCAATCATTTGGAATAGCTAGCAGGAATAGCTAGCAGGAATAGCTAGCAGGCCCCCAAATTGTAGATGATTGACCTACTTACCCTCTGGTAAACTAGCATAGCTATGGAAAATCACCATTTTTAATGGGAAAATCCACTATAAATAGCCATTTTCAATAGCTATGTTAAATTACCAGAGGGTAAAATGATGGTGAATTCCATAGCTATGTGAATTTCCGAGGGTAAAAACACCATAATCTCCTCAGTGCCAGGGGCATTTGATTTGGGATAGTCCGGGTGACTTCCTGATCATGGTCCACTTCATGATGCACATGTGATAAACGGGTATCCAGGGTAGGGAATGGTACGGGCATTGCATCATGTCATATCTAGATATCTATGTATCCATATAAATATGTAATATTTGTGTATGTATACATATATATATATATATACTGTGTATATGTTCTACATATATATATATATATATGCCTAGATCTGACATCTATCTATCTATCTATCTGTCTGTCTTTCTATCTATAAATCTATCAATCAATCAATCAATCAATCTATTCTTACACTTTTTACATGGTCTACACTCACTAGCTACACCATCCGCACTATACTTATGGTCATTCAGGAAACATGCAGGATAAACAAACATGCAAAGCAACCAGCTCTGGATGCAACAGCTCGTCGGTCCGAAATGCAGTGAATGTCTTTTGTACATAATGCACTAGCATGAACACATTAATGATAATCATGGTGCAAACAGTCAGTGATAAATCATGATGATGATGATTATTATTATGATTATGATTATGATGATTATGATGATTATGGTGCAGATGCAGCTGGTGCTGCTAGCGATGGTGTTGTTTGTTCTCATGGCAAGGTCACGTGCCCTTTCCATGGAATTTTCCATTCTGCCAATATCCAGTGTAGCCTGCCAATGGGGCTCCTGGCAGGGAGCCCTGAGAAATCTGTGGATATGTGGGCCTTGTCTGATACTTTACCCGTCACAAATCAGAGAGCGCTACAAGCTCTGGACACAGCCAAGGCATGTTCAAACTATTTCAAATCATTTCAGCATCTGCATCAGATCAAATATATATATAATTGTATATCATATATATATATATATCATAATATATGTATGTATATAATTGTATATAATTGTATATCACATATATATATATATGTATACAATATCTTCCCCATGATTATCCCCAGTATTTTCCCAGTATGATCCACGGATCTTCCCGAAGCTTGTTGTGATGTCACTCCAGTTGGGCCAGCACTCCTTTCTTGCCATCCTTGTGGTCAAACTGTGTCATCTGGCCGCAGCAGTTCGGTTCATGCTACTTGGGGGACGTGCTAGCGTGTAGTAGAGGGTGCACTTGAGGGGACTTTTGTAACTATCACCATGGCGAAATCACTGAAATAACTGAAATAACTCGCACAAGTTGTGATATGACCTCAGAATTATGGCCATATGGAGGTTTCTGAAATAGAGTAGCCCCAAATCATCCCATTTAGATGGATTTCCATGGATTTCCCATTATAAACCATCCATTTGGGGGTACCCCCATGACTATGGAAACCCCAAGTCGAAGGTCAAGGATTCTGAGAAACCACGAAATCAAGAGGCAATTCAACCGCCAGTCGTCTTGACGTCTTTCAACGTTCGCATTTTCTGACTGGTCTCACAAGGCTACAGCATCTATGCCAAAAATATGCGCCAGAGCCTTCTATCGGACTCTTCGTCGTGATTCACAATGTACCGAACATCTCATGTCTATTCATTTTTCAGGTGCATGATGAAAGTGAAAGAAATCAGCAACATGACAACACAATACAACAGGTTAGGCATTGTATTGATGATCGCATGTCGGTGACAATCCCACCTGGCCACGTCCATGGGGAACACCTCGCTCGTAGAATCCTTGATATTCTGTGAAATCGGCGTACCTGAGGCACTGAGCCACTGAGCCAAGTCAGCTATGTCAGCTATGTCAGCTATGTCCATCCAACTGCACAGGAGCAAAAAAAAAGTGCAAGGCCAGTAAGGCATTGTGGCATTGTGAACTTCTATGGAGGTTTCCGTTTCGTCATGGGGGTACCCCCAAATCATCATCCATTGATTCTTTTGGGATTTTCCATTAACCATCCAGCGATAAAGGGGTAGCCCCATGATCCCCCATGACTATGGAATCCCCCTATATATTGGACGGTCGGAGGGCACACAGCAGAACCTTCCTTCATGTGGTTTGCATCGCCACCTTTGGATTGATAGTAGGCCTTAAGGCTCGCGGACTCGGAGCCATCGTTTGCTCAAAAGATCATCAGGCAAAAAGACAAGAAATGGACAGAAATGGAAACGATTGGAAACAACCCCTAAATGCCCGAAATGATGAAACATATCAATCAAACAGTTTGCAGTGCCAGTGGAATTGATTGTGCCATTGGGCCATGCGTACTATCAATGCGCGCTGCTCCATGGCATTTGTAGACATTTGTAGATATTTGTAGGGGATCATTTTCTGGTGAAAATTCAGTGAGATCCGTCAGGCAGTGAGGAAGTTCGGGATTACTTGAGCTGCCTGAAGGGGATCCCAGAAAATTCCCTATCCCCTGGGAGATTTCGAATGAAAATCAATCATAAGACGTCATAAGACTCTGAAAACAGACTTTGGAAAAAGCACCCCAGACAAAAACAACAAAAAATACAAGGAAACGAACTCTGAATTACAATTGAACATGGAAGAGACGCAGAAAGAACATCTTGGTATAGAGGGAAAGGGCCGCCAAAACTATTGTAGTCTATTTTGAGTAGAGGAAAACAGCGCCATACTCTGCAACACTGCCCGAGAGGGAAGGGAGGCAACCATCACTTTTACTCCCTCAGATCGCAGCTGGAAAAAATGCCCGCAAAGCATTTTAAATATTTCAGTCAAGAAACAAACACTGGGAGAACCAGAGAAATCATACTGAGAGTAGTCTCGTCTGGAATCATTTTACCAAACAATGAAATTCTGAAAACAGGCTACCCACAATTCAACCCTAAACCCTATTGAAGTGACAATTTTGGTGTATCACCCTAGATTTCCCACGCCAGCGTTATGACCATGACGACTGGGCCACCCTGCCAATGCAAGGTCTGGCAACGGGTCGCCCGCCTCAAATGGTTTTTGGCGGGGTTAACCTCTGGTAAACATACAAAAAACGATGGGAAAATCACTATGTTCAATGGGTAAATCAACGAACTAAATGGCCATGTTCAATAATTAGTTTACCAGAAACTATAAATGGCCATTTTCAACTATAAATGGCTATGTAAACGTTTACCAGAGGCTATGTTCATTAACAGTTCCTTCAACTCCGAGGGCTTCCAAGGTCCCACGCAGATTGCACATCCATTGGGTCTAAGGAAAAGTACCTTCTGACGCTGGCAATGGACACTTTTTTTTCTTGGCTGATCTGAAGGGGCTCCAGCTTGAAATAGATTGAAATAGCTTAAATATGCTTAAATATGCTATAGTTAGTTCCCCATAAGGAAAAGGAAGAAAGAACATAAGATACATAAGATACATAAGCAAAACCAGGGACAGAATTGTCCGTGATGCATCAGCATCAACTAAGTTAGGAACTATAGATACAAACAGCAAGATACAACAAGCGGCCAGTCTGTTCCATTTGTTCCTTCAACAGCTTGGAAATTCCTGTCAGGCTTGAAACTATATACAGATATATACAGGATATACTGAGGAAGTTTCTTTCACAGCACATCCACCACAAAGGCATCCCCTCCATTGGGGATCTGGAACCAAACAAGACGCTGCGGGTCTTGGCACCGGTATCCCTGCTGCGTGTCGGGGAATCCTTCGTCTTTCAACATAGGGAAGTGAATACGTTGGATCCAGTAACACTGGAAAAGTGGAAAGGCACTTAGTTCACTTAATGCGTGGAAAGGCACTTTGAGATATTTAATATATAATTACGATTCTTTAGAAAGGAATGCCTCCAGCACCCATTTTGTTCGCAGCTCGCGATCGTTTCAAGTGCACCTTGCAAACCTTTGATCGTTCTTCTGCATCTCCAGCTTTGTCAACTCGGTGGGGTCAATGATGGTCATCTGGGGGGACAGACACAAGCACTTGCAAAAACCCTCTGGCTACAAGCAAGTCTCTGTAAAATCCATGTGGTTTTTAGGATACAGTATTTCAACATCCCAAAAAAAAAAGTAGTGTCAATATCTGTTCATACTCTAGTGAAATAACATTTCCCAAATGCAGTTTTATGCAATTTCTCGCAATTCAGATATGGGCATCACTGAGATCATGAGGAGACGACTAGATTTGGATGCTTTCACAAACCCATTCGACTCGGCACTCGTTTGATTCACACCAGCCATGAATGGTCAATGGAAATCTCTCCATGCCATGGGGTCCGCTTGCTTTAAATATGAATCTTCCAGCCCCAAGCATCAGAGCTACAAGTCACCCAACTTCACATCAAAGTGGCTGTGTCGAACTTCAAATCGCGTTGGCCAACCATTCTGCCAAGTTCATCTTCAACTTTTTGGTGCCTCAGGCCATGTGGAATGGCATTTCAGGACCAATAAAATTTTCAGACAACGGTGACTCAGGTGGGCCACCTATTCCTGGCATACTCCAGTGCCATAGAGTCCATAGAATCCATAAAATCCATAGAATCCATGACCATGACCATGGTGGCGAAACACGAGGGCGAGACCCCGCTATCCAACTTGAAAAATCTCCAACCAGCTTTTCGCAACGCCAAAGATGCTGAAAAAGGCCGATGACTTGAGTCTTTGTTGACTCCACAGTGATCCCAAAATACCCTGATAAGTATGGTGATAAGTATGGTGATAAGTATGGTGATAAGTATGGTGAAACCAGGCAATTTTATGTTTCACAGATTTTCTCAGCATATCAGAATACATTCCTGGATCTTCAATCTTCTCCAATCTTCTGTCACGCTTTGTCAGATCGCTTGACATTTGATTTGTGATTTGCTGAATCCAAAGACGGCCTCTTAGCTCACTTGAGAACGAAAGAAACCATAAGAAACCTTTGGATGTTCATCGAGTTTTAACAATACGTCAAGTCTTTCTATCGAGATCTATCGAGCTATAGGGATAGGGGAGATATGGCTAGGGTGTGTCTTTGGGGCAACTCTGGCCCATCAATAATTGCTCCTTCTGTCGCGATAGAACAGGCAAATACCGGCAACACCCTGTCCCACACCAGCTGTTGAATATAGCATCGGCAAAACTGTCGTGCAAGGCGCAAACGTGTACCCGAATCAGTGCTTTGGGGTGTGGTTTCACCACAGCTTTCCGTGACACAGCTGCGACATGCGACGCTGAGCATCAGGACAAGTTGTCATAGAGTGGACTGATTTCCCGTGCTTCTTCATCAGTCATATACCAATCCTCATGGCGACCAAGTGCAGCTGGTGGAAACTCTTGGAAACACAGCAAATTGGCAAAGCTGTTTACGCGCTACAGGAAGAGGGACCTATATAGAGACCCAGAAATCGGAGTTTCAACTGCAAGAAGAATGATCATCGAATTTGGCATTTCAGAGAGCGACTGAACGGATCTTTGTTTACTCATATTCAGTGCAAAAAGATCCCCAACATGAGTGTCAGGTTTAGACTTCATCGCTGCCTGCGACTACAGTAACATAGAAAGAACAACTTTTTACGGCACAGATGTACTGTTTTAATGGGACTGCAACACCCAATCCTCAACTTGTCTCTATGATCTGACGGTCAATTTCCACGTCTATTGGATTCGCACTGAGGGCCAGACGGCTTCCCACTGGCCATCAAAGCTCAAGATGTACCCCCTGAATATTGGAGTTCCAGGGCGTTTTTTTTTCTCTTGAAAACATCATTGGAAAATCATTGGAACATCACTGGAAAATCACTGGTTTCCATTGGAAAATCCATAGTTCATCCATTCATGGAATGTGCTGATGGGAACCGGGTGACCCCACGGATCCATGTTGGGCAACGGCACCCTTCCAGGACTTAAGCCTTGATGATCCATCGTCCTGGGGGATGCCACTGGGGATGCCACTGGGGATGCCACTGGGGATGCCCAAAAAACCAGAGAAAATGGATGGATCTGGAGAAAAACAAACTGATTCAGATGGATCATGGAGAGTGGATCTGGATGCCGAAAAAATCATAGAAACGCCCCAGACTCGGCCGTGGAGACTGGACGACACTGCGGACTGCTGTCTGTGGAAACAAAAAGGGATAAAACATACTGTTTAGATATCTACACTTTGAATATCTATAATAA